GTTTTGAGTTGAGATAGCCAAATTGGTGGCCATGGCCTGCAAATACCGGTTTGGGCACTCACAACATCGACAAATGCTTTAATTCGGAGATATGGAATTTCAAACTTGCAGTTTTCGGATTCTAAGGGGCTAATGCATTGGTATGCCCCCTTAGAATTTGTGACGTCAGCGGAGATCTAACGATTTTTAAATCTTTTACTAAAACGTTTGGTAGCACGCGGTGGTATATGCTGCTTTGCGCGCAACAAATGCCGCACTTTCAAATAAAGTCGCTAGGAACAGCGGAGATCCCAAAAAGTAAACAAAAGTAAAAGTCTAATATCTTGAAAACCGGTGAATATTTTTCGATGAAATTTGGTAGATATTCGTTTTCGCTCTTTCTGAACCGAGCGACATCACTTTCGTGCCAATTCATTAACTTTTTTGAAGGTGGGAGGGTCCCTTTAACGGTCACCAAAAAAATAAAATTAATTCCAAAAATCCCTCAAAAACCGCAATTTTTCAAATAAAAGTGCCCTCTCGGGTGCACGTGGCGCGTGCTATCCTCTGCATTGCACACCATTCAATAGCCCGTTCAGTTCTGTACACGATGCTGTTTTCCCCGTGCCGGTCGGACCCCTGGTCACCAAGATATTGCACGGGAACTGGACCCGTGTCGGCCAAAATTAGCCGTTTTCGCCCGATTTATACATGTAAAGTTTATGACGCGAATTTGCACTTTTTGAGCACACGCCACGCGCTCCCTATCAATCCGATCGAGCTGAGACCCCTCAAAGGCACGTCGCGCATCCTTGATCTATAAGTTGTGCAAATTTCACCGGGCTAGGTGCAACGGTCTGGCCTGTAGTCCACGCAAAGCACGACCAAGTCGGGACCTCGGTAACGGACAGACGCACCCTCCTCAAATAGTATAATATATAGTATATATTATATACTATATAATATATATATTATATAGTATAATATATACTATAATATTATATATTGTTCAAATATATAATATTATATATTGTTGACTATATATTAATATTATATATTGTTGACTATATATTATATTATATAGTATATATAATATCATATACTATATAATATAATTTTTTTTTTAGTAAAATATAAATTATACATGTAAAGTTTATATATACTAAAAAATTTAGTATATATAATTTTTTTTATAGTATAGATATGGACAGATGGGAATAGGACGTATGGTTGTAAATTTACGCTATGATGACAGACTTATGACGGTGCACTGTCGTTGTCGTTTTTTTTTTGGATTTTATTATTTCGAAAAAAACTTTATTTGAAAATTTCATGACCCTGACCCAAATGACCTTTGACCTGTGACCTACTTTCCGAGACCATAATTGGCCAGAATCGCGATTCGGCGTATGTCGGCTGCGGCTCGCATTATCGCGTTTGCCAGTCTTTTCGAGGTTTCAAGCGTTTTGTGAGTTGATGCTGCTCCCATGCATTAGGGTGGATGTCAAGGTCACCTGAAGATTAGGTCAGGTCATTGACCTATGATGACCTCACTACTTTTCCGAATTATGCATGTTCCTAGACTGGTTTTTGGAGCTGAATCCGAATTTAGCAACTATTTGAACATTTACGAAGTAGTTTTTGTGCCTTCGTGACATGTTATGAAGTTGTCAGAGGCGGTTGTCACCTACTACGAATACCCGGCAGGACCTTTACTGGTTGACCTGACCTGACCTGACCCGACCTGGCCTAAATGCATAAAGACATCATCTGTGATCAAAACTAACATGATAACTATTCGTGATCAGCACCCCGAAAAACCCTATAGCAGCCACACTTTACGACGTTCTTATTTTCCCGATTTTCGAGTCCTTGACCTGACCTGGAAGGTCAACCAATGACCAAAGGACCCTTTAAGGCCTTCGGAGGGCCGTTTGATGCGAGGCCAGGGCCCTCTGACATCAGCTGAGGGCCCTCTGACATCAGCTGAGGGCCCTCTGACGCCTGCTCAGGGCCCTTTGACGCCCTTTTAGGCCCTCTGAGATCTGTTTGACGTTAGCTGAGGGCCCTTTGAGGCCATCTGAGGGCCCTTTGAGGCCATCTGAGGGCCCTTTGAGGCCATCTGAGGGCCCTGTGAAGCCATCTGAGGGCCCTTTGACGATAACTGAGGGCCCTCCGAGACCATTTGAGGATCCTGTGACGCCATCCGACATCCGTGGGCCCTTTGAGGCATTTTAAGGGCCATTGAAATTTCACCACAACGACCCTGGCTGCGTTACTGGGCATATGATGGACTCTTAACCCTCGCCCCGTTGGGGAGGGGCCATTTTGGCCCCCCTGTAGTTTTTCCTGAATAGCAAGAAAACGGCGGCGCGCAGCGCCGCCAAATTTTCAGTACTTTCCCGAGCATCAATTTGACACATTCACACCAAATTTCAAGTCTTAGGTCACCTTAGGTCAGGAGTTATTGAGGTCAAACTGAGGTCATGTTCGAGCAAAAATGGACAAAAAACATGCAATCTTGAAACGCTCACCAAATCTACAGTTATCAAGCAATTTCAAAGTTCTTTATATGGTCTAGTAGACAAAAAGCGGCGCTACAAAACTGCTATCTCGGATTTTCAAAATTTTGGGTTTTTGACCAAAAAAAACAAAAAAATTGATTTTTTAGAAAAACTAAAATAAAATTCCAAAATTTTCCGAATTTCGAAAAAAAACGGAATATCTGCGCTCTTCTATATACATACCAAATATCAGGTCGATATCTCGTTTTTTGGCCAAGTTTTAGCGAAAAAACTGTTCAAAAATGATGACGTCAAATTTTTGAACTCAATTTTTAGCGATTCTAGACCACGTACGGCAAAACAAAGACCACCATTGAACTCCCCGTGACGAGCTGCATCGATTCGATACCCATTTTATGCAAAAATATCAACTTTGATATTTGACCTAATTTGACCTGACCTTGACCTGACCTTGACCTGACCTTGACCAAAACGTGAGCTAAGCTGGCCCCAAAGGCTGCCTGACCCACATAATCGCATTTGTCATGTAAAATGGACCATAAAACATGTATCACACGACACTTTCATATTGTGACCCCCCAGTGACCTGACCTCTGTGACCTGACCTGGTATCAGTGACCTCAGATAGCAAAATATGTGTTTGAAGAGCATTTCCCCATCGATGATTTTCTATTAAATGCATTTTACTCGATTTTACAACGCATTTCTTGAAATGCCTGTAAACGGTGAAAATTGGACATTTGACCTGACCTGTGACGTCATCGGTTTGACGGCGGTCTAAGGATTAGGTGCCCAGTTTGAGGCGGCCTTCGGCCGCCTCAAATGGGCCCCTAGGCCTTAATCCTTCGAGTTGGGCCCCCAACTCGAATGGGGGGGGGGGGCACGGGCCCGTGTGCGCCCCTTTGTGTGCGCCCTTGTTCGGGTGACTGACGGAGTGGGTTCAAACAACGCCTGTTGGCAAAGAAATGTACCTCATGGAAAAATTGTGAAAAGCTAATTGATCAAAAACAAGGTGGAACAATTCGCTGGAGAAAATGGTATTTGTTAATGACTTACTTAATTACACGGGATTTTCTGCATAACCTGGTACGTTTGACAGTTGAAAATGGCATAGTTGGAAAGAGCACTCAATTTTGTCCAAAATCCAATCATCGCTTTTGCAGGACGAGCAATAAATGTTTCAAACCTCCACATAGTAATTCACTCGATGGCTTTCATTTTTTAATAACCTACGTCAACCTTTGTTATAAACTACACATGACATGTTCTATAGCAGAACGCATGATTATCAGACACGAGCACCTCGATGCGATTGATATTTTTTCCCAAACCAAAATGCTTAGCCAACGCGTCAAAAAGCAATCGACCGAAATGGATACATAACCCACGGACACAAGACCAAGCAAACGCTCACCGATCGAAAATACCCCTTATTCGCGTTGCGGAGCAAGCGGGTCACCCTAGCGGGCCCCACTCAACCGGGGCCCGGGCCCTATCCTCACGGGGGCCGGGCCGGGCCCTATCCACACGGGGACCCGGGCCACGTCCACCTGGGGCTCCGGGCGCCGTCCACCCGGGGCCCAGGGCCCCATACATCCGAGGGTCCGGGCCCCATCCACCCGGGGGTCCGGGCCCCATCCACCCGGGGGTCCGGGCCCCGTCCACCCGGGGCCCGTTCTCCCGGGGGCCCGGGTCCGTTCTCCCAGTAGCCCGGGCCAGTTCTCCCGGGAGACCGGGGCCCGTTCTCTCGGGGGCCTGGACCCATTCACGGGGGGCCCGGGCCCGTTCTTCCAGGGTCCCGGGGGCCCGGGTCCGTTCTCCCGGGGGCCCGGGCCCCGTCCGGCGTCCACCCGGGGCCCAGGTCGGCCCCTCACCCGTGTGTCTCATTAGGCATTTCTCGAAGCGGGCTCGTCCGATTAGATTAGGACCTCTCTCCTCCCTCTCTTTCTCTCTCCTCTCTCTCTCTCTCTCTCTCTCTCTCTCTCTCTCTCTCTCTCTCTCTCTCTCTCTCTCTCTCTCTCTCTCTCTCTCTCTCTCTCTCTCGAGCGGGCCCCTGACAGATATTTCGGGGGGGGGGGGTCAGCTGACCCTCTGACCTCCCTGGCTGCGCCACTGGTGTGCAGAGAAACATACATGAGCAAATGTTTTCTTTTCATTCACTTCATATTTTGCAATCATTTGTAGTGTGCAATATGTACGGCTTATGGTTGGATCCGGTTGGACCCATGTTGGACCCGTCAGAAAATTTAGTATTTACAGGAACCGGTCTGGACCCATATGGGTTCAGAGTTCAGACTGGTTCTCATTTCTTTGGACCAGGTCCTCGGGTCAACATTTTGCCACCTCTAATCACCAGCATTTCTCCGGTTCTGAATGGGTCCACCGGCGCCCCAAACATGCTGTGGCACGCCGAGGGTCGGCCGCATCACGGGTGCAGTGGCGCCCGCGTGGCGCCCGCTCCATCATGGTACACTTTTACACCAGGTACACTTTTAGACCGAACGCAACCAAACGGCAACAAAGCTGATCGGCGGCAGTCGACTTCGCGCATCGGTCGGTTGAGGGTGCTCGGAGACATTGTTTGTGCTTCAGAAAACCAGGACAGAAATCGTTTAGATTTCGGACCTACCGGATTCCCCGCAGTCTGTTGTGTAAGATCTGATCATCTAGCAGCTGCTGTAAAAGAAGAAATTGGTTTTTTCGGGCTTCTAACTCGGCACAGGGCGTTGCCATCTGGTGGTAACGCGCATGCGCGCGTGCGAAGTCGTCGAATGCAACTTCCCAGACAGAGAAGTAAAAACCAACGTAAACAGAGCCGCGTGGGATCGCGAGTTGTGCGAGTTGTGCTGTAGGCTGCCGGCGGGTGCACGTGTGCGGGGAGTTCGTGATTGGTAGGAACTGAAAATATTTGATGAGCTGACCAAAGCCCGTAAAAATGGCATCTGTGGGAATCAGTATCCCTCCTCAAGATCACAATCATGTGACTTCACCAGTGGCGACAAGCAAGCCAGCTTTCAATGGTCATGATGGTGGACGTCGTTTTGAGGCTTTTGCCAGGTGAGTTCAACCTGTTGTAATGTCAATCTGGTATTTTTTCAGGTTAAGCAAGTCTGTCAAACTCAACCTGTATTTGGATCTGTCTCAAGGCTTTGAAGAAAAATTATTAATTTACCGTAAAACTGGGTGTTAAGGGACAGTTTTGAGGTGTTTTGTTGTATAACTCAAGAAGGGTTGGAGATAGAAGCATCAAATTGTCAGCATTTTATGTGGAATTTGGTGCTTTACATGCCTGCTACATTAAAGTTTTTAAGATTTATACCTGCATGTTATTTTTTATTATTTTTCATCACTGTCCCTTAGCACCCCAATGTGGGGTGTTAAGGGACACCTATATTATTCCAAGAAATGGCCATCAAATGCCCACAATTGGGGTGTGGAAGGGCACACAATTTATTTATTGAAATATTTTGCATATTCTGTCACAAAACAAGTCAGGTTCATTCACCACTAATGACCTTTTTAGCCAATTACGTGTAATGCAGTTTACGCTTGTGGAAAATGTGCTAATTATAAGGTAAACAGAACCAGAAAGTAATCTTCTGTCATCAGTAAAAACCGATGTTGAAGCTAGTCACTTGTCATTATGTTGCCCTCTTTGTTTTAGCCTTTTTATAATGAAATCACATTTACCTACATCAGTCTCCATTGACTCATCATTGTAAAAGAGAGTGTTGAGATGTTTTGTTACATAACTTAAGATGTGTTAGAGATAAAAGCATGAACTTGCCAGCATTTTATGTGGAATTTGGTGTTTTCGATGCCTACTGAAAGAAAACTTAATGAAATTATATCTAGATATTATTTTTATTTTTTCTTCCCTGTCCCTTAGCACCCCACATCCACCTCAAAATACGCATGTATCCGGAAAAGAGGAAGAGTATGATGAATGAATGGGTGGATTTGCACAAGTTTTTCAGGAAACATGTGCAATACATGTGACAATACACCTATGCATTCATTTTCCCTGTACACCCACTAGTTTATGTGGTACACACAGAGTTTTGGAGATGTTTCAATTTTGTGAAAATGTAGCATGATTTTCAAATCCATTTTTGAACCAAATCACTTGCATGAAAAACCATACCATTTTGTCCTATGGTCAAGAGCAAAACAGTGTCAACTACCACACTGAAGTTTTTATTGAACCTTCTCAAATTAGAAAGTTAATATGACTCAAAGTTTTTCCCACGCAACTGTCCCTTAACACCCCACTGTCCCTTAACACCCCATTTTACGGTACTCAGTGCTCTTCCATTTCATAAATTACAAATGAAATATCCATGACTGCTCCATTCTTTTTGGTGCTCTTCAAAGTTTGCTGCTTTTGCCATCCTCTATTTACATGCAATGTTAACCATCAAATAGAATATTTTTCCAGTGTTCCTTAAAGGTAGTGTGCCACCTTTGAAAGATTTCCCATTTTATTTTTCCTAGGATAAGAAGCTTCTGTTTTTACCTAATATCGCAAAAAAAATCAAAAATGGGCCTGGAATAGTGCCTTTTTCGCCTAAAAGTTTTTCGGTTTTTAGATATGTATAACAACTGTAGTGGGCTCACCTGCAAACAGGCGTCGGGCAACAATCGCGAATGCGGCGCACTTGTGACAATAAGCAAAGGTCATTATAGTGTTACGACGCATATTTACGTCTGGACAACGAGTTGCGTTGGAGAGGCCGGAAATAGTGGCGATTTCAGGACCGCAAGAATGGACCGTCATTGGAATGATTCTTTTTTAAACCGTGCACTGTTTTCGGCCGGAATTTAAAAGTTACTACAAAATATTTTGTAATTACGTTTCCACCAAGAATGAATGCCATCAGGGCTAAATTTTTAATACTATTGCATTTTGTCAAGAAGCATATAGTGCTGTTATATTGCAGTTTTAGCGCGTTTGTTACAAAATATGAAGCGAATAAGCGTCAGTGTAATTCATCAAAGCAATCAACAGTGCCAGAAGTTAAGTTGAGGGGAAGGTATGCTAATTGCCAGTCCATCCACTAAAATTTATTAAATATTTTGCTTTGTGTATTCCAAAAGGAGAGGAAACTATTTCATTTGTGCCTTCATGTCGGAATTGAAGGTGGATCATTAAATTTTCAACGCAGTTTACAAACAAGCATTTGGTCTTTCTCGTTTATAAGCAGTGGCTAAGAAAAGGTTGATCAATCCTGAAGTTCAGTCATCGTACCTCAACTTGGCAGCAAGATCCCCCAAGGACAGAGGATATATTGTGTACATGTCCTGTAAATCAAAACAAACAAGCATTTGGTCTTTCTTGTATATAAGCAGTGGCTAAGAAAAGGTTGATCAATCCTGAAGTTCAGTCATCATACCTCAACTTGGCAGCAAGATCCCCCAAGGACAGAGGATATATTGTAAACCTGTCCAAAACATTTTTGTGCCTTCAAAGGCTTAAGTTATCTGTGGTGTGTTCGGAGTTAGGCTATATGGCCGTTTTTGTTGTATGTTTATGTGGAGATTGAATATAACTGTGACCCTGTGCTTGTTTGTATACCTACTTACGGTCAAACAGGGAACAGCACATTCACATAACATACTCACCTAGCACCTAACTCATAGCTGTACCCTGCAGTATCTGTACTTGTTCATGTCTCGAGCATTAACAAAGCACTAAAGTAGGTAGCTTAGTAATCATTTCCCACATTTTCTGAGCATCTAACATGACATACAGCAGTGCAGAGCAGCTTCAGAGAAGAAACACTTTAAATGCACAGACTCACACCAGCCATCCAATGAGCCAGTTCCTCAGTTGACTGTTTCCCTGGACACAGCTTGGCAATGTGAGCTAACTTTTGGCAAGTTGAAGGTTAGCAGGTAAGATTGAGTTAGGGTGAGTACCTACCTATAACTGGGTGCTACTGCCATGCAGGTCTTGGGTAGGCTGCAAATATGTGTGATGATTGAGGTTAGGTCAGCTGTCAGGTTAGTCAGGTTCAGGTATGCTCATTGCTTAGGTCACATTTTTATGGACATTTAGCAAATTAAAAAACTAACAATCTGATCTAAGCTGCTAACCCGACTAAACATACACAACTACTGGCTATAGGAACTGAGCACCTACCTACTTGTGCCTACATCTCATACCATGTCAAAGTAGAGTTCCTTGGTGGAAGATTACCCTCAGTACTTTTTATCCCAGCCCTGTGAAGAAAACTAATACTTCTAAGCTTTGAGTCACTGCTGGCCATCCACAGGAAGAAACGCTGAGACTGAGAGCTTTGCCATTGTATATTGGACCAATAATGACCATCACGAATGACTATGAACACATACTATGATCACATCGTTGCATGGATTGTCACATTGACAATTTTACTACAATCCTTTTTTCAAGAAATACAGTGATGATGATTAGCATCAAAATCAACATAAAGTGGATTTAGTGATCCAAGCTTTCTCCTCCAGTAGCAATGGAATGATCGCATGTTTCATTTGCCAGACACTGAGTACCTGATGCACATTACAATCTGCATAGCATCTAAGCATAGTAAAACTGCCGAAGTCCATTCATTCTAGATTTTAACTTGATAGTTAGCACTAATTTATCTTGCTGTTGTAAGTTATCATTCAATATTCATACCAATACATCAATATGCGCTCATCAGTCAACATTTTCTGGCATGATCCTGCTCAGCGTGCTCTTCAGTATTGCTCTAAGGTATGCAAAATTATAGCTTGTTTTTGGACAATAAGCTCTTTTAATTTTAGTTTTTCTTGCTGATATATGAGCCCGATCAACTTGCGTTTATCAACCAAAATTTCATAACTTGTTCAACTTGATATTGATATTGCTCAGTAGTCAGGACCTCTGTCAGCCTCCTGGATACTTCAGATTGTTTTCAGTCAACATGCTTCTTCAATATGATATAAGTCAATCTTAAGGGATTCAAAACATCCAACAAAACGACGTACAAGAGCAAGAAAACCACCAGATAAACTAAAAAATGGCCTTGGAACAGAGCCAAGTGGTGCTCCATTTGTTTGTTTACAATGATTGTAGTGCTGATGTATTTTTAGGACTCTGAACGTCGGCTTATAAAAAATGAAACGTTTTTACAAAAGTTGTAAGGCAAGTAATATTTATCTGAAAGAACTAAAATATTCAAAAGCCAAACACTATGAAATACATGAATCGGAACGAAAAAGTAACCCAAAAATCCAGCCTAATCACCGGCTCCTAAAACTGCAACACAATCAGCACTTTTCCCCGCAACTCGTTGTCCAGACGTAAATATGCTGTTACGACCGTACGACGTACGGGAATGAGGTATCAGCTGTCTAATCGTAGACAACACAATGTCGAGCCTTAAACTGTAAGCCCGTATTGGTATTGTTTCTTTTATTTGGCTGTCGAACATTATTTATGGTTTGAAATATGATTTTATGTAAAATAATTGATATGAAAAAGCCGTCTTATAAGTTATGACCCCATTTCACCACACGCAAGTGGCAGAAATGACAATGATCAGCTGACGCATTTTTCTTGACCGAAGTCAGAGCGCGCGGCCCGACGCACCACGCGTATTTGGAAATTCCGACCTCGACGAGCATCAGAAGCCACCTAACAGGCGTGTTCGAAACCGCAGGAGATGATGATGAACGGGTTTATCGAAACTTGATTGGATGAGCATATCGGTAATAGCGATTTCAGTGTGTGCATTTATTGTTCATAGTGGTGTGAAATGTGGTTGGGGTACGACCGACAACCCGTCGGGGCGAATTTCGCACTGGGGTACTCAAAATTTGAAGAATTTAAGACGTTTCCATGAGTTTTGAAGGTATGGATAAGTTCTAAAAATCCGGTTCTCCTTATCTGGGCCATTAACTCCATACGGTCCAAGAAAGCTGGCACACTACCTTTAAATGCATTTCACTTGATTTTAACATGCATGTCTACATGCTAATTGCCAAGAGAGGGGCTACAACTTTCTGATATAATCTCTAAGCCAAATGCACTAGTGAACTTTTCCTATCAGTTATATTATAATTGTTTGCAGTGTCTGGTACCTACAAGCTTTGCCATTCTAAAATTACTATACCTACAATATATTGTATATAGAACGTAAATCTACAAAAGCATTTTTTTACATTCAAATAACTTCTTTGAAATTAAACTGCTCCAGCATATTAGAGGGCAACCACCCTCCTGGAAAATGCATGTGGACTTGTCTTTTTCCATGCTTCATAACTGACCTATGGATTTTTTTAGCATGAAAGCTAGGTCTTTTCTATAGATTCTCTCCATATCATTTCCTGATTGGCCCATTTTTTCAATGGATTAATGGTCCTAACCTCTGACCAACACTCCCCTCCCAACACACACCCCTCCCTAACCTCTGATTAATGCCTCCTCCAACAGACATCCCTGCCTTACCTTTGACTAATGCCTCCCTCCCCAACAGAACAGATGCGGCCCTCCCTATTTTAACAATGCCAGCCCTCCCCATCAGATATCCCTGCCTGGCCTCTGATTAATACCCCATCCCCCAACAGATGCCTCTCCCTAATCTCTGACTAATGCCTCACCCCCAACAGGCACTTGAATCTCTCCCTCTCCCCACCGACAGACGGAACAGCAGCCCTGGTAGTCTGACAGAGTCCTCCCGTCCTCCCCGACAGACGGAACAGCGGCCACGGGGGCCACTCCGAGAGAACCGCCTCCAACCAGCGGCTGATGCGCAAACGCAGCTGGAGCATGCACGGCGACTGGCGCGGCCTGAAGCGGCGCAGGAAGGGCATCGTGCCGCCCACCAAGTTCCTGTTGGGCGGCAACATCTGCGACCCACTCAACCTGGGCAGTCTGAACGACGAGGAGGCCAACAGGTAAGGCCAATTTTGTATTACAGTCGTGATTACTTTGTCATGCTCTAGTGATGCTGCCGGAAGTATAGATGGTCACGAAGCATGACGTCTACACAAACCTCATTATTTGATATTTTTAGCAGTCAAATTTGCGAGTTTCACTCAAAGCTTTCTTCTCTCACTATGCCAAGTTATTTTCCCGCAAACATCGATTGTCACCCGTTCCTCCTGGTCACCCCCGCTGCTCTGACGCCGTCCACCCTCGCCTCCCCCAGGATCGCCAACGCCAACACGCCTGTGTCGTCGCCCATGCCGACGCCCAAGTACCGCAAGGAGCCGATCGAGGTCATCATTCCTCCGGACATCAGCGACCCGCTCGGCCTCAACGGACCGGACTCGCTGCTCTCGCCGGCCGCTCAGCGGCGCAAGAGGTGCAAGGTAAGTGAACGAACGAATGAATGAATGAATGAATGAATGAATGAATGAATGAATGAATGAATGAATGGGTGGGTGAATGAATGAATGAATGCATGCATGAATGAAGCAATGGGTGGATGAATGAATGAATGAATGAATGAATGAATGAATGAGCTAGTAAAGCCATTGCATCTTTCTATTAGATGATTTGGATTGGTGGAATTGGCAGTGTTTGAGTTTCTACATGTCATGGTCTATGAGTGGCCTGATTTTTGAGGAAATGCATTTTGTTGCTGTTATGCCGAGACTATTCCATGGTTGAAAAAAAAAAAACATTGGTGTGATGATGCACTTTGCTTTACTGCTGTCGCTTTCGCTGCCACTCGTCTGAGCCCTCCGTCTTCCTCCGTGCAGAGGCGAAGGAAGCAGCTGTCGGGTCACGGCGCCTCCGAGCCGGCCGGTCGCTCTCTCTCGGAGTCGTCTGCGGCGCGCTCGTCCTCTGACGGCGACACGACCGCCCTGCTGACCCCCGTGTCCGCGCCCGTGACCACCGGAGAGCTAAACTTCTCGGCGTGCTCCGCCGCGCCGGCGCCGGCCCCGGCCTCCGCCCCGGCCGCCGAGACTGCGGAGACGGCGCCCGTGGCCTCTGCCGCCGCCGGCGCTCCCGATGCTGTCCCCACTGATGCGGTGGACGCCGCTGTCAGACCGAGGTGAGATGGCAGCAGCGGGGACGAGCGGAGGATGTGGGGCTAGGGCTGAGAGTCGGGCGTCGGCTGCCATGGCTAGTGTCGGAAGGTGTGGTACAAGTGAATGGCGTGTGACTGAATTAATTTGGCCGGCTGGGTGTGACGGCTCCGTCAACTGTGACGTCATTGCCTCAGTAAATTTCCGTTCGCAAATGTCTGTTTTAATTTAAAGACTTTCGTTTGGCTTACATAATAAACCAACGTTTTATATTACTAACCTGCTCCCACCGACCCGCATTAATAGTCTCCAGTTGGCCTCACGGGCCCTCCCACTAACCCCACAGACCCCCCCCCCCCCACCTAACCTCCGTCTCCACTCTCTGCCCTCTGTTCCCCCTTGCTAACTCCTCCCGCTCTCCCTCCGCAGCAGCCTGTGTGTCTCGGTGGAGCCGGCGCCGGTGCCCAGCAGCACCGGCGCCGTGGCCAGCCCGGTGGCACGGCCGGCGCGGCCCACCACCAGCCGTCGCTCCTCGGACGAGGTGGTGTCTCCGGCGCTGCCGCAGCCCGGCGGCCGGCCGGCCCCGTTCGCTCGCGCCGGCCCCGCGCCGCCAGAGATGCCCGTATTCCGGCCGCGTGATGAGGCCTTCCAGTACGGGAACTATAATCGGTACTACGGCTACCGTAACCCGGAACCCGGCCTGGTGAGTGGAGAAGGTGGCGGCCACGCGTTCGTTTTAACTGTCGTTTGATTTAATTCAGCACCAGCAGACGAATGCTACGCTTTGAAAAGGCAGTCATAATTGCTTGTGGAAAGGTTGTGTTCAGGGCTGCGGAGTCGATGGATTTTCGGCGACTCCGACTCCGGCTTTCAAAAACCAGCTCCGACTCCGACTCCGACTCCGGGCAGAATTGTCGACTCCGACCGACTCCAACTCCCGATTCCGACTCCGACTCCGCAGACCTAGCAGGGCTGCGGAGTCGACAGATTTTCGGTGACTCCGACTCCGACTCCGGCTCGGGTTTCTAAAATCGACTCCGACTCCGGTCACAACTGTCGACTCCGACCGACTCCGACTCTGACTCTGACTCCGACTCCGCAGCCCTGGTTGTGTTATTCTTGATATGCTATTCAGAGAGTCATCGGCACAAAATATAAATTTCTCACACATCCGACGCGGCTGAAGCCATTTCATTTCCTCCTCCCTGTGCCCAGATTGGTGACCCTTTCTCCCCGCTTTGTACCCTCGCTCCACCCCACTGACCGTCTCCTCGCTCTCCAGGCGGACTCTCGTCTCAGCTGGCTGAAGCGCGAGTGGTTCAGTGGTCTGGACGTGCTGGACGTGGGCTGTAACGTCGGTCACGTCACCCTGACCGTGGCCAGGGACTACCAGCCGCGCCGCTGTGTCGGCGTGGATATCGACAGCAGTCTCATCAAGGTACGCACGGGCACGCTGGATTCTTGTCTTTGTGTGTGTGTGGTTCGTCTGACTTAAATTATTAGATGAGTGTGTTTGTATGTGATACTTGTGCCGTGTTAGGCCAGGGTGTAAGATTGGGAATATGTCGTAAGATCACCCAAGTGCTTTGTTTTTCATTGTTTTGATTGGTCCATCTGTGAAGTACATACAGATGAGCCTGGCTGTATGATAAGCTGGCCAGTTGCTAATTCCATTTCGGCTGTCTGTGCCTAGTCCGTGGCGCTGAGCGTTGTGTGGCGGTGTGTGGATATGACTGAGTTTCGCCGTGTGCCCGCCAGGCGGCTCGCCGGAACGTGAAGCACTACCAGCGAGCGGATGGCTTTCCGGCCAGCATGCAGTCGCTGTACGGGGATCTGAGGCCGGCGCACAAGGCGCCCGGCACACAGTTCCCGCGCAACGTCTCCTTCCAGCACGTGAGTAGGAGGGAGAAATGGCGCCCGCTGTCAGCTGCTGGTCCCCTCGGACACAGAAGGGTTGTCTGTGGCGCTTAAGTGTCATGGTAAATGGCCATGCTAACGAGGTATGCTTTGGGTTGCATGACGCCTGGAAATTAATATTAATGGCCTTATTATTTTCGGACGTTTTCTTCATTAGCCCTTGGGTCTTGTACCGTTATTCAGTAGAACTTCGGTAGGTAATGTTACAAAGTGGTCTTGGACCGGATACCGCTCTTTCTGACCCACCTTCCACCTCTCCCTCCAGGCCAACTTTGTGCTTGAGTCCGACGCTCTCCTGGACACGGTGAAGCCAGAGTTTGACACGGTCCTCTGTCTGAGCATCACCAAGTGGATCCACCTCAACTTCGGGGACGCCGGCATCCGCCGCTTCTTCCGGCGCGCCTTCTTGAGCCTGAGACCCGGCGGCCGGCTGCTGCTGGAGCCGCAGCCCTGGCCCAGCTACGTCAAAAAGAAGAAACTCACCGTGAGTGCCGGGCGGGGATAGCGTGAAGGGTCATTGTATGGTAGCTTATGTCGGTGACACTATGTGTTGTGACACTATGTATGACACTATGTGAGATAGCGCATAGTGATGTGCTTTGTAAGTGCTGAATATAATGCTGGTGCAAGAGTATCAAGTGGAACTCGAGTCTAGGGCTGTGATTTTACGATGTTCCTATTTAGCAGTAACCTCGGTTTACTGTAAGGTTACCAGGAGATGTTACTTTTATATGGTTAGTTTATTGCATAAAATTGAAGTGTTTGTTTGTCTTGATGCTTTCAGAAGCGGATCTGGGAGAACTATCATCAGATCCGTCTTCGGCCGGAAAACTTCCCCGACCTGCTGATCAACGAGATCGGGTTCGAGCGCTACCAGACGGTCGGCCGGCCGCACCACAGCTCCCACGGCTTCAGCCGGCAGCTGCAGCTCTTCACTAAGGTACGCGGCGCGCTCTGCGGCCCAGGCGGGGCGGCGGTGGGAGGGGTGAAGATGTGTACTGTACAGTGTGGTGCAGGTATTTTGCTGGGTCGCTGGAATGCTTGGACCCGTGCAGATGTGGTTAAGTGCTTATGAACTTGAGTGTTCTTATTTACTGTATTGTCTGTATATATTGCCATTTATGTATATGACATGACGTGTCTGTATTGTCATTATATATTAGGACATGTCTTTGTTTGGTCAGTTCTTTAATGGGTTTTACCTTTGTCAGTTTAACGGCATTCTTTCGTTCCAGGCGAAGGAGCCGCCGGCCACCTCGACAGTCACCTCGATGGAGACGACGGAAGCTGCGCCTTCGGCAGCGACCGTTGTCATGGACACCACGGTGACGCCGGCGGAGAAGACGCCTGCTACGGTTGCCATGGACACGGACACGGCGTCAGCGCCGCCGTCCGCGGAGAGTGGCGCTGCAGAGGTGGTGTCCGGTCCGAGCGGCCCTTCCAGTGCGTCTGACCGCCCCGTGCCGGCGGCGGGGGACGGACAGCAGAGCTCCCCCGCTCCGGCGGCGCAGCGGCGGACTGAGAGCGCGGCGGGAGCTCAGACTGCGGCCGAGTCTCGGTGAAGCGGCGCCTCCGCCGGACGCTCTTTGGTGCTCATCTGGCTGTACGGAAGGAGAAGTACAAAGCGCCGCGCTGCGAGTGTCGCGGGGTGGCCAGGGAGCGGGGTGAGCTGTGTGCTGGCTCTGTGTGTCTGAGAGACCGACGGGCCGTGGGGAGGGATGCGTCGACGGTGCGTGCCGCGATGAGTGATGAGGTTTGTGGGGCGGAGGTCGGGCACGAGCCGCGCGGGAGACGCCGGGCCCGGTGCTGCAGACAATGACTTAGTTGACAAAGTGTTCAACTACAGAAGGTCTGTGCAGGCGTGCGCCGAAAGCTCGGCGCAGATAAACCTCAAGTCTATCGCACCTTCATGGAAGAAACGCGCTTGAAGGCAAACTGTTGGATGCTTCGGGCCCAAGAGGCTATGCGCCCTAATCCAACAACAACCCATCACACTTATGAAGGTGACAATTCATCTGTCGCCAGCGCTCCATGGATTGTGACCGCTTCGACGTTACGTTATCAGTCTGTTCATCGTCGTCGGCACTATCAGTTGTCCGTGCCGACCGTGTGCTCAGTTGACATAGGGACTCATTCGCCACAGGAAGTTGCCGATGAATCGGCTTTATCAGCGGTATACACAGGGGTGGCGTCGACCGCGCGGCTCGTGTCCGGTCACGGAGCTATCGAAGCCCGCTGGGTGACCTGACCCCTGGCTGTAGCAGCTACGAGCTGTGACCCAATGAGGGAGGGCTGAGAGCAGGGTGACTGGGACGGAGCGTCGAGTCGGGTGTTAATGGTCCACAGGACGTGATGCCGAGTGATTGTACCGCCATTGTAAACGAGGGGTGTGAATGGTATTAGGGTCTTCTCGTCTCATTGCTCCAGAGGGATTTCTACATAAATGTTTTTAAAGAAGGAATGTGGACATTGAACCGACCAATATGTTGGTCATGCTGATATATTTAGTAGGCACTAGGCACACTTTGAATAACTGTGCCGATATTTGGAATCGCTCATTTGCATTGCGCTACGCTTTTGTTTCGTAGCTTCCAAAGAGACAATGGTCGATGATCAGAGCACCCTTTCTCTACAATAATCGGCTTGTCCTGAAATCCCTTTTAGAGGCAATGAGAAGTGAAACCCCTCGCCTGTCTGCTGAGACCGTGCGTGGCCGGCTGAGTTGGCTCGGCAGCGGAGGCAGGCAGAAACAGCGCCAGGGATGGACAGCGTGGAGCGTGAGTGGGCAGAGTGGTGGCCGGTGGTGACAGCTGCTCCGTGGCGGCATGCGGCCGGGATCTCGGGACGTTTTTAGCATGAGCCGTCGCCTGGATCTCTTATTGTTTTGCAGACGTGGCGCCCGCGCAGGCTGTGTGCGGCCGGCGCGTTGTTTTATCTTACAGTGCTGTGCCGCTGCCGGGCTGTTTACGGCGCGGGCCGTGTTGGTCCCTGACCGGACCGATTGGTCTCCGGTCACTTTGGTCCGCCGCCGGACCAGGGGACCGGTGACGGACTGTGAGCCACCTGTTGACAATACTGCTCGCAATAACGCGTGGCGGTGCTATGCACGCAGCGGGCGGGCCGCCGACCGCCGACCGCTCGGTCCGCAGACTGTGACTGTCTTCTGATGACTCGCCGCGGTGTCCAATACACGGCGCTCCAAGCCGACCGACGAGTACTGACGAGCGGATCGGGGGTGCCGGAGCCGGGTTTTCACTAATTTCCATTTAGTTCGATAGCGCTCAATGTGGGGAAAACAGGCGAGATTCTGCGGGGTTCGCAAACAGACTGGGCCGAAATAACCTACAAAGTCCTTCCCCTTTACTGTGGTCCGACTGGCGCCCGACCCAGTAACTCATAAGAATTTCAGATTTCCATTTACCAGCAACTACTGTGTGCACTATTGTCGAAACATTCCGCAATCCGCAACAATATGCGTTATGCGTTCGGGACCCAACGTCATAACTCGCGCGTTATCACTGCATTTCAAATGCGTTCTATAACTTAGCAGTTCAGGTATGTGGCGTGAGAAGATCACACGATACCGGATACATGTTCACAAAGAGCCATCGCTCTTTCGTCGTTCTGTATTTATCACATCCATCGCTAATTGCAGCAAGGTCGGTCTGAGACAAAGCAATGCCATCACAACGAAACATGCCTACAGGCGTCCAAGAGTTGGGATACGCGAACACTCATCAAATGTCAAGAACAGACAGCCGTGACTTAAGTATGAACCTATATACGCATTAAATACTGTAGGCATACTGATGAACAACAGTAGTGTTATAGTCTTGTAATTCAGAGATACTTTAAATATCGCTAGCGGTCGGTATGAATTTAATGTCCAATAGCCGCAAACAGGTGGACGCGGAACATCCTACATTAATGCATGCAGTATGAGTGCGGAAAATAAAGCAGAAATACCCGACCATGTATGACACACATGTAGATGTCTTCGTTTAAGTGTTCATAATATGGATAAGTGGTCGGTAGACCATCTTTGTTCTAGAACATAGACGAATGTCCATGACGCGAAAACGACACTCGACGGGACTAACAAATGCCCATTGCTAAGTTCATTGCTGAGTTCAGTCATTCAACACCGATCTACACATTTCTAGCATACGCGAGGCTTTTAAGAATAAATTTATGGCGGAAAACAATGAGATCAGAGAGCGAAGAAGTTATGGTAATTACGACCTAATCCAAGTCCACCAAACAGCGGACACACCTTTAACGCACGGAAGAGAGCATCTGTGAAAAAGTCAAACGAGTCACTTGATAAATCGTAAAATGGATTCCAAGAGTTTGCAGGAATGAACGATCAAATGCATTTCGAAGTAATAGAATATGGGGTTGTTTAACCCAGAAGCAACACAAAATATTTCGTTCACTTTCGTCTTTCAATGGCAGCAAAACGGAGTATAACACTTTCCCGTAGATAAACGACATTAGTTCTACAGTAAACGCCAGGCTAAACCACAGCACAGTTCGGCGACAGACCTACGTTAAACAGTTAACAGTTCCTCATCTAAAGAGCTCTCCTGGCTCCGCGGCGCCACTACGATACATTGGCCGGAGGATCACAACACAACACTGAATAGCACCCTGCTAGGGCCGGGAGAGGCCGTGGCGGCGGCGGCGCGCGGACATCCTCGCCCAGTCGGCGCGCCCGTTTGATCTCACAGCAGACCGGGCCGCTGCTGCCCGCCCGCGCGGGCGTCTAGTGCGCCTTGGCGGCCGCCCGGTCCTCCATATCTTTGCGGCCGAGCTCGACCCAGGCGCCGTAGCCCTGGACGAGCGCGATACCGGACTTAACAACGGCCACAGGCGCGGAGAGAACGACCAGCGCGCGCACTAGGCCCAGTCCGAGCAGCGTTGGGCCCTCGGTGAAGTGCAGCAGGTACAGCATCGAGTAGAAGAGCTCGTTGCCTGCGCACATGAAGAACAGCACCGGCCGCGAGGAGTAGTAGAGGCGCAGCAGTGCCGAGCCCTCGCCGCCGATGGTCTTGTGGCTAGTGCGGCCGCGCAGCGTGGTCACGTGCAGGTGGATCCAGTGGCACGAGATGTCGATAGCCATGCTCAGCTGGAACCAGAACATGTGCTGTGGGTAGAAGGCGCACAGACAGGCCAGCAGGCACATGGTGGCGCACCGGTCCGTCAGCTGGTCCAGCATGGCGCCGAACTGGCTGCTCTGGTTCAGCAGGCGCGCCGCGTGTCCGTCCAGCGCGTCCAGCAGGCCGCTGATGACGTAACACGCGGCCGCCGCCGCGTGCCGCTCCGCCATGAACCATAGCGAGAGCAGCGCCAGCACCACGCGCGCATACCCGATCAGGTTCGGCACGAACAGATACACGTTATCCATGGTGGCCGGGCGTGGGTAGACTGCTGGATGGAGTCAAACAGCTGAAACAGAGGTCATCCAGTGACAATACAGCTTGGAAGGGTAAACGATGGGCACAATGAAGGATATATACATATTTTTGGGATCTCCGCTGTTCCTAGCGACTTCATTTTGAAAGTGCAGCGTTTGTGGCAGATGTTGCGTGCAAACAGCATATACCACCACTGCTTCACAAAGATGTTAGTATAAGGTTTAAAAATCGTTAGATCTCCACTGACCATGACGTCACAAACTCTAAGGGGGCATTCCAATGCATTAGCCCCTTATAATCCGAAACCTGCAGGTTTGAAATTCCATATCTCCGAATTAAAACATTTTTCGATGTTGTGAGTGCCCAAACCAGTATTTGCAGGCCATGGCCACCAAATTGGCTATCTCAACTCAAAACTAATGTTAAGGTGGGATGGTCACTTTAATGCTGATGTTCCCCATCAAACAAAACTATCACATTTCACTACGACCATCTTACAATACTGATACCAGAACATGTGGTCGTCATTTTATGGCGACAACAAGCATGGCAGCCAACTCGTCTTCATCAGAAGAGGAGGAGGCGCCTCTTGAGTAAAGGGTCTTATTACTCGAAAGGGTACCTATCTAATGACCTCTACTATCCCACCTTTAACATGGGGTTTGAGTTGAGATAGCCAAGTTTGCGGCGAGGTTCAGAAACCACTATCTATCTAGGTTGCAACCCCCGCGGCCTCTTGGTGTTGAAGAAATTCGTTCCCTTCATTTGAAAATGGGCCTTGTACAAGGCCCTATCTTCAACATGGAGCGACCGTTAGTGTGACGTCACCTCGTTTAGTCATTCTGATTTAAATGGGTTTGTTCGTTGAAAAATCGCTTAAAACTTGGCCTGAACTTTGTTGTGGTGCCTACAGAGTAAAAAGAATCAGCTTTATGACAGTAATGTGGCCTGGGGAAGGAGGTAATTTTGGGCTGTGACGTCACATATTTGAAAGTTTGTGTTTGGAATATGGGAAGCCTAAGATGTTTAATGAAAAATAAATGCCAGAACCGTGTTCCTGGTCATCCAATCTATAAAGTCGGGCACAATTTAACTGGTTTTAACAACATTTTAGAAGGTGGGATAGTCCCTTTAAGGTAAATACTTAAGGTAAATGCCTATTTATATACACTGTGACAATACCTACCTCGCAACGTCGCAGGCCACGCCACTGCCCCGAAACGTGGAAATCAACCGATGCAACGACAACTTGAACTACCAAGACTGCAACGCGTTTCCTATGGCTTCGAGCCCCTTGGCTTCTAATGAATCACGCTGCAGGCTGCAGCGTAATAAGCGTACACAAGTCGACAGTCTCCAGCTGTTCTATTTATGCTGCATTTGCTGTGATCGATTGTGAGCCTTATTATATCGCAGCATCTTTCAAAAAGTTGATCCCTAATTTCATTGCAAAGTCAATCCTCGACGATCAATGTTGGATAATTAATCCATGCAAGTAGCAATCAGATGATAATCAAGATCAGTTTTGAAAAGCATGCCCTTGATAAATGTTAACGCTAGCAGTATCAAAATACGAAAAAGCACAAAGATCATAGCTAAATGTCTCGTCTGCGCATGTCTTGGACAGCAGTATGCTACTATATTCTATTATTGAAGGCATGCTTAACTAAAAACATAACTAAATAGGTATATAAATAAATGAAGTAGAAAATCAACAGGCATTTCGTCCCATCAATTCGTTACAGGCTTAGCATGACGATACAGATAACAAAATGTACACGCATTTTAACTAAAGTGAAGTGGACACAGCCGTCAGCCAATCAGCTGGTTTCAGAGGAGGGATCCTTTCTTCTTCCTGACAAGGGACACCTATGACCTCGGAGACTGTCGAGTGACCTGAGATAAAAAAGTCAGTGAAGTTGGTGTGGCCTCTGAATTGTGAAGCCCCGCAAGCTATACTGCAACCGACTTCGAGAGTGATGCAATCTCCTCTAATTGCATCGTAGTTCTGAGCGCCTGCTTACCAACATACATCACCCTGGTGAATTGAGCTAATTTGACCCACAGTTGGTTACCCGGTGGATCCCGTATGCAGCATATGTCAGGGTCGACCACGGCCGGGTCGACAGATGGCCTACTGATCTATGGCCGCTGATATGAGCCAGATGATCTCTCGTTACACCGATAAGAGGCCTACTCCAGTGCCCGGTCAGCACCCCTTCTCGGTCATATTAAACAGACTTGCACGAAAGCGTTTTATTCTGCGAGAAGACATCGAAACAGAACAGCGCAATCCTAGCGAGAACAATTTCCGTATGAATAGTCTCGTCACGGTGCAGCTCCTCATTTGTGAATCCCTCACAGGGTTGCGGCCTGTGGCCCAAACGCGTTACACCGCCCACATGCCATTCACAACACGACATTCGCGAGGGCCGTCCAGTGGCCGTAGAGTGACGTCACTGATCACCAAACGGTGACGTCATACGATCACCGGCGGTTGGCGGTTTGCGGTAGGTCGTGCCGACGCAAAGTTCCAAGGGATGTTGAGCACGGGACAGGGCCGACGTTCACTGTGACTGGCAGACAGTCGGTCATCGTCACCGCTCGCCAGCAGCAGTCGACATCGGATCCCACCACGCGCTGGTCGCTCCCACCCAGTGTCATCCGCCGCCCGCCCGCTCCTCATGGCTCGCGTCTGTTCGGTCCACCGACCGGTGCGTACCGTTTATCCCGTCAGGATACCATACTCCCGTCTGCACGGGAGCTGGGCAACCGACGCGAGCTAAACGCTCACCCCATGTCGGCGCGACCTGAACAGACCTTCGCCCGGAGCGGGCTGGTCAGCGGGACACGATGTGAACCGCACCTTACACCCCGACCGGCCCCAGCCCGCCGCCTCGGTCCCACAGGACAAGGTGGTCACGTGTTTCAGCGGAGATGTAAGTTTGGTGTGGGTCGATTACCACACACAGTGACTCGAACACAAATTGACAGTTTCAAGAATTAATAGAAAAAATCGTCCGTGAAACGGTAAGTTGCAAACAATCCGATGAGGCAGCAAAGTCACCTATCCTGACCATTGGACCGTGGTCCCTGCTCCGTTGGACCGTGGTCCCGAGTCTGTGCAGACCACCCATCTCTGCGGGGGCATGGGGTGGCGGCGGGCCGCGCGACACTGACAGTCGGACCGCGGCGGCTGCGGGTCCGCTAATTCAGCCCCTCCTCCCGACGGCGGTCACCCAGTCGCCCCGGTTCCGGGGGGGGGGGGGGAGGGAGGTGTCACGGGCTCCCAGGTGAGATGGCGGCACCATCTCCACGGATGGTAGCACCATCTCCACGCTGGGGACACGACGCATGGTGCGGAGCGGGCGGCCAGCCACCACCGAATGCAGCGCGACTACCAGCATCGACCAGTGATCCGGTCGACGACAAGACCACTGGCCGGCTGTGTGCTAAGATTTTCCCAAATTCGGTGACCGACTGCCGCCCCGGCCGCGCACCACACGGTGTGAGAGGCAGTGCTGAAAACTCAGCACGAGCTGGTCATCTGAACGCCGTTTGTCCACCAAACTTGCATCTCAGCTGAAGTGCAGAGAGGGGAGGGGGGATGCCGGCAGGCGACGGGCTGACCGCCGGACGGGGCACTGGACGGCTCGACCGACCGCAAACCCAGACCGACCTAACTGTGACCGACGGACGAGCCAGACTGGCGCAAAGCAAACGGGGTCCACCGGACGGCCTCAATAGTACAATTATCACATATGCCGAGGACCACACTGAGTGCCACCCCGGGCCGATCAACAAATCACCGAATTCACAGCTCATTGACTTTGAGAAATCTACGCCACCCATGGGATAAGATATTCATGAGATCGGACAATGAGCTCCGATTCTACAGCACATATTACAGTGATCACAGGCGCGATCACAGTAATCAACGGATTCACTGAGGAGCGTAACGACGCGTGACTAGATAACATCGCATTTAAATATAAGCTCTGGACGAGATGAAAATGAATAGAAACTGCTACACAGAAACACCACACCAATTAGTCAGTACGTTAAAGCGTCCTTTCCCGTCCGCTTTCTAGACAATCCTAGCAACATTGCGAGCTAAGAAACTGTTTAAATGTACCTTTGCTAAAACCGGTGTCTCGAGACATTGATGCAATCAGCTGGAGTGCATCCAACCCGAGTCCACAAGCGATCTTAAACGAACCTTACCACCACCTGAACATTGGGAAAACATTGGGAAAAGAACGATGAAAAATATAATTTTTACGAGGCGGAAACTTACTACCCCTCCTAAGAAAGTACAATGGTCTACAAGGAAAATCTAAAAAAGAAAGATGTTCTTCACCATGATAAAGCCAAGGACGTAATGTTCTACGTCTTCGAAAGTTGCCTAGGTTGGCGCGACGCGAGTTCCTCCTACTGCACTTGCAGCGGGCGAGGAGAGACACCCTGGAAACGAAACATTCAACAGGTCAACACGTCATAGCACAGCAGCTCGCAGCACAGTGTCCGCAGAAAAGGATCGGTGACGACGTACGTGGGGAGAAGTAAAGGATCTATGCGACAAGCATGAGTGTTACGGCACATGAGAAAAAAAATCAAGTAAGAAAAATCAACTACGCATTTTACATGTTACATGCAAGTTATATGTACCTTACTTATTAGAACATATCGGCGCATGATAACGGTTTTCACCTTCATTTTTTACGGCGCTATTTTAAGAGAATACTGTTTCTAAGAGACTTATATTTCGGGTATTATGTAACTCAGACAAAATAAAATTCGCATGCTTATTCATCGTCTACTTGCTGTCAACTGCTCTAACCTAACCCAATAAGTAAATAAGCTAACAAAGCCTAGGAAGCGCATCAGTGAGGATTCTGCATTATGATTGCCTGAGTCTGATCTTGCCTAACAATGTCAAATGGAGACATTCAAATGGAAACACGCGTTGCCCGTCGGACCGCCGGCCGTGGGGGGCTCACCAGTGCCAGGGAGAGGCAGGACACCAGGTAGAGCTGCTGTCCGATACTGGAGGCCTCCAGCGGGCCCAGCTTCCCGGCGTACTGTCGACACAGACGGGGACCGTCAGACGGGGCGGCACCGGGCCTCTCAGACCGGTCACCGGGCTCTCAGCGGGGAGTCGGAGCAGATCGGCCCTCGACGCTCCCCATGGCGCCGGGACTGGCCGGCACCGTCCGCCGCTCTGGGGATTCCACCAGGGCGTGCGGCGTCCGTACGCTCCCCCATCGCCCATATGAGGTCACTATCGCACAGGTGATCCGGCCTCCGTCCCGTCAGGTCACCTTCTGCACCACCGACACCCTGCCCAGATCCCATCAGCCCGAGATCCTCCCCGCCAGCCCTGGACACCAAGACTCCCCACCCGCTGGACACGAAACTCGAAATCGAAACACATTCAAAACAACCGGCCGCACCGAGCATTACAGCCCTCCCACACCGTCCACTGGTCGGTGATTGACGACCACTGACCGCCGCCTCTCCGATGATAAAGGCAGAGAAGAAGGAGCTGAAGCCGACCATCTGCGCCAGCCAGCCGTAGGCCGAGAGCAGGGTGGCCACAGACCTGGTGCCCTGTCAACACAGAGACGACGGGTGCACGGCGACAGTGAACACGGAGACAACCGGGACGCACAGCGTCGGTATCGACACAGAGATGACGGGCGCACATTAATATCGATACAGGGAGGGTAAACAGGGTCAGTATCGAATCAGAGATGATAGGCAGCGTAAATATCGATACAGAGACGGATATACAGTGTAAATATCGATACAGAGACGATAGACAGCGTCGGTGTTGATACAGAGACGACACACAGTGTCAATATCGATACAGAGATGACGGGCGCACATTAGTATCGATACAGAGAGGATAAAAGTGTCAGTATCGATACAGAGACGGGAACACAGTGTCAATATCGATACAGAGATGACGGTTGCACATTAGTATCGATACAGAGACGGGCACACAGCATCAGTATCGATACAGAGACAAATATCAGTAATACCGAAAAACAGAAGACGACAGTCATGTGGCGCAAAGGACAGCCAAACAACACGGTGGGCTCGGCGATGGAGGCTACTGATTACTGAGACTACGTCACGGAATGTTGAGTTCTGTGGGAGCTCTGAGATCGGTAGATCGTAATGTATGTAGTCGCCAGTACGATGACCGCCGGCTGGGTGGGCGCGGAAGGGTTTCGGTACCGACCTTGCGGGCTTTGGTGATCCACACTGTGGTGGAGAGCGTAGAGAGTCCAGTCAGTGCCAGGTAGCCTCCCGGCGAGAGCACGAACGCTCCGAGCGCGGCCGTCGCGAGCTGCGAGCCGACCAGCACGGCCACCTCGCGGGGCACCAGCAGACGGGCCCGCTCCACAGCCGACAGACGGCCTGGCCGGTACACGGACAGTCACAAACATAGCACGTCAACGTTACTACCTCGCGGGGCACCAGCAGACGGGCCCGCTCCACAGCCGACAGACGGCCTGGCCGGTACACGAACAGTCACAAACATAGCACGTC